GGATTTCTAAGTCAGGTTCTGGAAGAAAATCAGATCACAGGTAATGTGGGCATCATACCTTGTGAGAATCCTGTGGATATACAAGGCTTGGAAGAGGAGACAAATGTGAATTTGATGACATTTCATAGAAGGTTTCACCCGAAATATCTCACAGGCACAAATGTGAATTTGATGACAATTCATAGAAGGTTTCTCCCGAAATATCTCCCAAAGAAGATGTTTCTTTTGATAAATCTGTGTTTGAGGCATTAAAAATTGATTTTAGCAGATGCCCTAATTTCTCAATAACTATACCCATAAATACCAGAAGAACACAGAATTGCTCTACATTAGGGGTTACAACTAGGGGTATGCTGGAAAGAGGAGTAAGAAAAAATCCTTTTAAATGAAAATTTTGTTTTGGAATGTCTATTGGGTATCCTCTTCCCTCATCACACTTATTACACTGAGGAGGAGTTTTGGTCTGGATTTTATGAGTATTATGGAGCCTATGGTAAAAGTAGAGAAAAGGGATGTCTTTATAATGAAAATTGGGTTTACTAATTGCCTTGTATCCCTAAATAATAAAAGATGGATGTTTTGGAATGAAGATGTGCTGAGTTTGATAAGTGTTAAGGAAGAAGAGCAGATCACCACTTGTGAATTTCTATATAAGGTTGACGGATCTATCATTTTCATTTCTAGTGTCTATGGAAAGCACAAGATTGACGATAGGGAGGATCTATGGAGAAATATGATAGATCACTGTCCTACTAGAAAGAGATGGATAAAAGGGGAGACTTTAATGCAATTACTAGTTTTAAGGGGAGGAGTACTCCATCTACTCAAAGTATGGACTTCAACAGATGTATTTATCAGTGTAAGTTGGTATGTCCTAAGCCTGTGGCAGCCTTTTTACATGGTCAGGAGTGAGATCTCTGGGCAGAATTTGGAGAGGACTTGATAGGGTGCTATGATCTGAAGTGCTGGTGAATCTTGAAGTCTTGGTGGATTGTACAGAAGTAACAGTGAGTCACTTTAGCAAAGCTACTTCAGATCATAGGCCTTTGTTTCTGGAGTTCCATAGTAGCAGTATAACTAATCCAAAGCCATTCAAATTTCTCAATGTTTGGGCACAACATGATGACTTCAAAAATGTGATTAAGGATTATTGGCTTACAGCTCCAACTCCTGGAGGAATGAGGGGTTTGACTTTCAACCTAAAGGATTTGAAAGAAGTTTTGAAAGAATGAAATGAAATACAAAGGTATTTGGTAATATTTTTAAAAAGTTAAAGGAAAATGAGGCTAAGAAGACTTAGGATGAATATATGAAGAAAGTCCTAGTGATAAGCTGAGGGTGGCTGCAAACTTGGCTGATGCCAAGCTTTTGAAGGAAGTCAACAAGGAGGTGGAATAATGGAAACAAAAAGCTAATATGAAATGGATTGATAAGGGTGATACTAATTCCAAAAAGTTTCAGGCATATGCAAGGCGGAAAATAGCCAAGCTGGGTATTAAATCCATCAAAAATAAGGATGGAAAGAAATTATTGAGGAAATTGAGGCAATTGATCATTTTCAGAAGTTGTTTACAGATCCTTTCTCTCCTTCCACGAAGTGTTTTTGGATTTATTTATGGGCAATCAGGTCCCTATGGCCCTACAGTACTCTGGTAACTCTTATCCCTTAAAAGGAAGAGCTTAAAACCTTTGCAGATTACAGGCCAATATCACTCCTCACTTTTAGGAGCATGATTAACACAAATCCTAGCCTCAAGACTTAAGAAAATCTTGCCAAAGGTGATCTCGCAGGAGCAGGCAGCTTTTCAGAAGGGGAAATCTATTGATGATCACAAGCTAATGGCTAAGGGGATAGTGCATATGCTGGATAGGAAATGTTGGGGTGGAAGTGTTATTATCAAATTGGACATGGCTAATGTTTTTGATAAAATGGATTGGACCTACCCACAAGCAGAGTTCTTAATGGGTTTGAATTCTCCACAAAAGCTCAATCCCTTCTGATGGCAAACCTGAACAGCAGCTAGATGTCTACATCTCCATTTTGGTCAATGGATCACCTGCAGGGTTTTTTAATATGGCTAGGGGTGTGAAACAAGGGGATCCACTATCCCCACTTTTATTCATTATAGGAGGTTAAAGTTTCACTAGGCTGCTTAAGTCTCGTATGGACAATAAATACATTCAGGGTTTCAATGCTGGCAGATTACCTTCTGTCAGCCATCCGATTTATGCATATGATTCGATGATCATTGTTAATGGAGCCACAAGGGATTTGCTTCGATTAAAGGACATCACTAGTATCTATCTGATTGCTTCAGGACAAGAAATAAACTTAGCTAAGAGCAGATTCTATACACATAAGAAAGCCGTAGAAATGGTTCATAAAATGGAACAAGGCCATAGAAATGAAATGTGGCTCACTACCTTTTACTTATCTGGGAGCAACCATGTGCAAAGGCAAGATGAAGAAACAACATTGTGCCAGTATCATAGATCATTTTGATATGTACATTAACTCTTGGTTTAGTAAGGTGATAAACCAAATGGGCAAGCTGGTGCTTATCAAGCAGATTCTGTCTTCCATTCCTCTACATATAGTGGCACTACATCAGATACCTAAATGAGTTATCAAGATGTTAAATCAAAGGATGGAAAATTTCGTATGGGGATTTAAAGAAGGTAAGCCCAAATACCATTGTAAACTTGGGATGAAGTTTGCAAATCAAGTCAAACAGGTGGTATGGGTATCAGACCTTTGGAAGAAGTTCAACAGGCATACTCCTTGAAGCTATGGTGGAAGATGCAGAATGGAGTGGGCATTTGGCCTGATTTTATGAGGGCTAAATACAAAAAGGGAGATACTCTCAAAGAAAGGTTGACAGATTCCTCTACCTGGAAGAGGATATGCAGAATAGATGTGACTGCAGCAGCTCATATTTCCTTTGGATCAGATAGAATGCTTTGGAATGGAGACCCCTTCACTCTTAAAAAGGCATACGAGGATATTAAAAAAGAGGAGAGCCTGAAATGATGTCATGCAGTTTCATTTGGTGTAGCAGTCAGATTTCAAAAGTAAAAACCTTCCAATGGAGACTAAATTTTGGATGTCTAAACTTCCCAGAGAATCTGAAAAGATTATAATATGCACCTTCCTAGCCAATGCACCTTCTGTAAGAGACATGAAGACTTAGTAGAAGACCATACACTTCTACATTGTGAGATTAGTTCTCCAGTTTGGGCTTTCTTTGCAGATCTGACAAAGGGACCTTCACTTCAAAATAGAAGGCCTCTAACGTCTCATATGATGGAATGGTGGCTTAGCTCAAACTCCAAAAGTCTCAAAGGAAACCTCAGGATCATTCTGCCTGGATTAATCACCTGGATCACTCACTCCCAGGCTCATTCAAGACATTTTTTTTACCTCATTGTTGGTGTTGGACCAATATGGAGAAGGCATAAAGGACAAGGACTTGCAAGGATGGGGTTTAGATCAATTTTGGCTAAATGGTAGAAAACTTTTGAAGGTGTTACTGTAGCTTTAGATTCTATTTAGTCTTTGTTTCTGCATCTCTGTAATTTTATATGCCCTACTTTTCAATAAATGTTTTGTTTTCTTAAAAAAAATAAAAAATATATTAGTTATTAAAATTCATAATTTTGTTAGTCTTTGATTGATAGGACATTCATTCAAGCCCTAAATTGATACTTTTCTTCCTCGATGTCTAATTGATAACTAATATAGATGGCTCTGTTTCCAGTGCAGCTACCTGTTATCTTAAATTCTTAATATATACTCCCACCTTTTGCATTTAGTTGTCCGCTTTCCAGAATAATTCTAATTTAAGGAATAAGGTTAAGATGAATTCAGCATGTCCTTCATTCATAGCAAGAATGCTTATATGCAATTTAGGGGGGGTGGGGTGGTGTTTTTGATAATTCATAATAATTAGTTTAAGAAAAACTAATTAGTTTGATAATTATTAAACTAATTAGTTTAAGACACCATATTCTGACGTCGCAAAATGAAAAACTTCATAGTCAAACATTTGCTCTTATACTCAATCAACCTTCATATTATTTTCAAGAATATGCTTTGCTTCAACTTGTAGCCTTCTATTTTAGTATTGCTTCTATTAGTCCTATTTGATTAGTTCTGCTATGTCTCTTGTTTTGAACATCTACAGATTATTGATGGAAGAATAATTTTTGTGGAAGCTGCCAAGACCACAAGACCAGGGGAGAATTAACTGTCCAGAAAAACAATCTCAGGCCATGAGATTTCTGTTTGTTCCCTTTGCTAGTACAACTCATATGAGGAGAGCAAGCAGGGGACCTGGCAAGTTCAAGAAGACTTTTTTGTAACCATTATGCCATCCATGTAAAGGTGGTGAGTTTTTTTTTTAGTTGTGTGGCAGTTCATGTTTATGTGTGGGAAATATTTGGATCTCGAAGGGAAGCCTTTTAGCTCCAGAGTTTCGGACTTTCGGTACTTATTGTCAATCCAGACTCCACGTATCAATGGTCCGCTTGTTTGGAGTGTTTTTCGAAAATTTCAATTCTATTTTCTAACGTTTGGTAACTCATGGGGAAATCTTTTCGAAGGAAAAATACTTTTTCTCAAGAGGAAAGAACTTCCTTTTGCTTTGGACGGAGGTAAATTTTCCTACTCCATCGAGTCCATTGATTTGATGAGCAAAACAAATAACCTATATGTGATATGCAAAATAAACACCCACAATGTTTCTTTTACGGGGGTACAAGTTTTTTACAACAAACAATCTTTGAATTTGCTAAAGAAACTAGTACTATTAGAAAATCAAAAGCCATGGGGGCAATTTCCCCCCATAGACACTTACTAGATCCGCTAGTGAATGGAGTATTGTTCTCCAAAACAAATTCCCCTAAAAATCATAATAAAAAAAAGATTACACCTCTAACGGACAAACTATCATGCTTCTAAGGATTTTTTTTACCTTAGAGCATGGGCAATGACAAGTAATGAGTGGAATGTCACACGCTGACGCAGAGTATTTTAACCAGTCAAAAACAAGCTAGTCAGTGTGTGACAAATAAGTGGAGTGTCAAACCATACAATGGCAAATCATTGTTTTTATTATCTTTTTATATTTTTTGACATATTTTAATTATTAAAAATTATTATACTTATTTTATTTATCATAAAATAAGTATAATAGTGTCCTGTATGATAATGTGGCAATGAGGCATGGGAGGCTCCACGCCATTGCCCATGCTCTTAGCACCAACGTCATTGCAATTTAAATTAGTGCCTTATGGGAAAAAAATTTAAATATACACATTTTTGATCATCTCAAGTAAAGTGGTATGTGAAAGAATAAAAAAATAGCATGTGAAATCTTAGTATATATACACCACACATACGATTTCAAAATTAGATCATGCTAGCACTTGTAAACATTACAAAAAATGACCATTGGAAATCTATTTCACTCTCAAGAAGTTTGTGGGTTTCTTGTCATGCTATTTAATTATACAAAAGCGCATGAGTGGGAAGAGGAATTCTGTTCTTTCTGTGATTGACCGCGTCCAATCACATAAGAGGTGGGATCGCATGGCTTAGCTTTGATGGTGGAGGAAGACTAGACTGTGATTGAACTACCATGTTTATCATTTTCCATATATGATTCAAATGTTGTACCTATAAATAGGGGCGAGACCCCATTCTAATCCTGAAGCGCAATACAACTAATTCATACTCGCAATAATCACCACATTCTCAAACTATGTGCCTTTCTTGTTATTTTATCTTATTCGTTAATTCAATCTGCCTTCTTGGGTAAGATCATTTGGTGGAATTGTTTTCCATCAGTACTTCTGATCTTCTCCATAATTGACAACTGCTCGTGAAAATAAATATACTCTTGATACAAAACTAAGTTTATGCAGCCCCTAAAAATTACTACCTCCGTTTCTCAAAAGAGTTTCTCTTTTGACTTTGGAGGAAAATAAGGAAGTGTTAAATTGTAGTTGACTTTCCAATTTTGCCCTTGATGTGATGGGTAAAAGTAAGATGTGATAGTTTAGTTGTTAGTGAAAAAGTATGATGTGATAGGTAGGGTATGAAAAAGTAGGGGTAAAAGTGGTTTTTTAATAGAAAGGGAAAATGTTTTAAGAAAAACAAAAAAAATGAAAGAGGAAAGGTTTTAAGAAACGGAGGGAGTACATTCTTGAAATTGAGAAAAGACGTAGATTGTTCAAACGTTACACAAATATCGTTTAACCTTTTTACAAACATGAACACTCTATAAGAAAAATTATTTTAACTTAAAAATAAGAGTTTGAAAATAAAAAACAATATAAACACTCAAAACTTAAATGAATCATCCCTAAAATTCATACTACTACTTTATGAAAAAAAAACTGTATCAAGCACTATAATCCAAGCATCTCGCGTGGAGAAATATATGTAAGAGTGTAGTGTTGCTGTTCATTTTCGATTCCAACCGGTTGGTTGAAAAACCAGAGGGCCTCCTGCATTTAAAGGTTGATTTCTTGCATACTAAAACACATTATTTATAGGAGTGTTGTATAAAATATTGTACAAAGGAGAGGATCCCTTTTCTCTAGCTAGCTAGCTTGTGGAAATGGGTTTGAGCGAGCAAAACTAAAAATATTATAACATTTTTATTTTTTGTGTTTTCTAAATCGAGAATGAACTCTTACACACGTTACTAGTATAATATATACGAACTCAAGCATGCATGCATGCATGTATATTTTTAGTCAAGAAAATGAAAGGACATAGATAGCTAATTAAGAGAAGAGCATTTAGAAATCAAAGTCATCCTGATTAGGCTTGGGGGAAGTCAACAAAGCTGTATATAGTCTAAGGCGTTCTTCTCCAAGTGAGGAGCACCTAGACAAAGGTTTCCTTGGCCTAATGAAGGAAAGAGAGGAAAGTGTCAAGTGATGTTTATATCTTCGCCAAGCGAGTTGGATGGCAACAGCTCCCCATGTTCTCCACCCAGGAGAGTAATACCTTGCACTTCTCTTCACTTTCTCCTTCACAAATGTGTGTCGGAAGTGTTGTGTCACGTACTTCACATCATGGGCATCAAGCCCAAATGCTTCAGTCGCCTCTAGGGTCTCCAGCGTGAAGGAGGATGGCGGTAGGCGCTCTACAAATGGCCGTCTAAGACACCAGGATAGCAGCTCGTCGCCACTAAAGTTTCCCGGTCCTAACATGCAACAACTTCTTACGCCTTCTCGTAGTAATTGGCTGCTTTGGAGATGACCTCTCACTATAAACAACATCCTCTGCACTGGGTTTCCCTCTCTTGTTATCTGCAAAAAAAGTTCTTGTTCTTGCTCTATTAGAAAAATGCCAGCTTTTGTTACATTATTATTAGTCTTTCCATTTAATTTTATAGTATAACATTTTTATACAAATTATAGAAAAAATATATTAAATTATAATATTAATTTAATATCAATATTAATTATTTTGAAATTATAATATAAATTTCAGTCTCATCTACGCAAACTCTAATAATACAATTTTTACTTTTCAACACTTTTTATTTATGTGAAAGAAGAGTAGTATTTCCTTTTCTTTACAATTTCACTTACTCTCTTTGTAGAAATATATGAAAAATAAAAATGACTTCTTTTTCAAAAGACAAGGTATTTATACAAATTTACACAAACCTGATTACACAAGTCCAGACCCAACAGTGAAATATACATCACCAATAGTAATATACGCTAAACATCCCCTCAATTGGACACATGAAGATCACATATGCCTAACTTGGATAATAAGAGGAAAATAAAGGTCTAGATAAAGTCTTTGTAAATAAATCGGGTAGCTAGAAATGCATAGGCATATAAGTTGTAGTAATCCCTCATCGTTGGATGCCTTTACAAACGATGTGATAGTCAATATTAAAATGCTTCATGCATTCACGGAAAACTAGATTAGCAGCAATGAATAAAGAAAATTTATTATCATAGTATGTGGCACCCCAAAAGCACTAAGGATACCACTTATCCACCTGATTTTAGCACATACATTAGCTTTGGAACGTTATTTAACCTCAACTGATGAACGATACATACTAGTTTGCTTTTTAGTTTTCCATGAAACTAGAGATCCACCCAAAAGAATAAATACCAACTAACAAAACCGCATGTAAGGTGACAAAATGCCCAATCATAGTCGGAAGGTACATGGTAACCCAAGAGCTCTAAGGATACCACACATCCACCTAATTTTAAAACATGAATTAGCACTGGAGTTGTATTCAATCTTAGATGACAAACGAGACACAATGGTCTGCTTTTCTGTTTTCCATGAAACCAGAGATCCGCCTAACATAAAAAAATATCCACTAATAGAACACCGTGTAAGGGGACAACTCACCAAATTAGAGTCACAATAAGTAGATAGTTGAAGGGAAATATCACTAGGGGAAAAAATACCTTGATCTAGTTGTCTTTTCAAGTACTAAAACACACCTAGTGCAGTAGCCATATGATATGATCAAGATGGAGTGCATGCATAAACTAAGAAGGGACATGAGTAGAGTATGATAAATTCGGCCTGGTGATTGTCAAATACTCCCTCCGTCCCATAAAATGTTACCCATTTTGACTAAAGTTGAAATTAAGGGAGGGATAATTTTGTGTTGACTTTCCAAAAATACCCTTGATGTGATGGGTAAAAGTAGGATGTGATGTGTAGATTATTAGGAAAAAGGTATGATGTGATAGGTAGGGTTTGAAAAAATAAGGGGTAAAAGTGGTTTTTAAATAGAAATGGGTAAGGGATTGTGAGACACAATTTTTTTGAAACGTGTAAATCTTTTTGGGACACAGGGAGTATATGAGTTGACCTACATGGCGCATGTACCTCACTAAATCTAGCACATGTACCTCATTGAATCTGTGAGTTCGCCAGTGGAATAGGACAAGCCATGATTTTGCGAAATAGGAGTATCTATTGGCTTACAACCCAAGGGAATAACGTTTTACAAATGTCTAACACATATTTTCCCATGCACAGTACCATACCCTCCAAACAGAGAGCACACTCAGTACCATCTCTCTAATTAAAACAATTATGCAAGTCTTTTTAAGCTTGCACAAAGAGTCTGATTGATACCGACTACCCAAATATTGTCAACATATACCAACACAACCAATATGTAAGGCCAAACATGGAAAATAAAAAGAGTATGGTCCGCATGAACCTGTTGAAATGCATATCAACAAAAGGCAGTGGTGAGTTTCGCAAACCAGTATCGAGGAGACTAGCGTAAACAATAAAAAGATTTTAGTAGACAACAGACTTTTCCTGGGAATTGATGAGACAAACCATGAGGGATGCGCATATACACCTCGTCCTATTACTCCCTATGAAGAAATGCATTATTCACATTGCGCTGATGAAACTCCCAATTTTTAGCGACTAAAACTGAGAGAAAAACTCAGATAGTACCCATTTTACCAACATGTGTAAAAGTGTCCGTATGTCCTTAGCCCTTGATGATTATCCAAAACCACCAAACGAGCTTTTCACGCTTTTTAGTTCCATCAGATTTAAATTTAGTTTTGAACACTTATTGGCAGCGCAATGCTTTTCGGCTAGGTGGCAAGTATGTAACAACCCAAGTGTAATTATTTTCCAAAGCCTAAATATCTTATTGCATAGCTACGTGGTATGAGGCATGTGTTGCATCCTCGTTGTAATTCTTGGGTACAAAGTGTTGACTATTAACTCTTAGAAAACCTTGGTACGTGTCATGTAATTTTTGTGGAATTATAGATATATTTCATAAGATAAACAAGAGTTGACGTTGTCGCGTCAGAGGAATATGTTGGGCAATGGTAAGCTGATCAGGAAGAGTATGTGGGGCTGTTTTGGGTTGGGTGGTTCCAGACTCGGGACTATCAAGCTGATTAGTTTCAGACTTGGTAGTGTCAGACTTGGTTGTGATGGGTTGGGTAATTTTGGATAGTATACGATTAAGAATGTCAACAAGGTTTGTCTATGATGCAAAATAGGTGAAGTTTTATGAGTGGAAAACGAGAATTCAGTTTCATCACAGCATATATCATGTAAAAATAGCTAGTTAGACTCAAGGTCATGCATAAGCCAACCTTAAGTGCTGATGGGATAACCAAAAAAGCATGCTCTAAATACTACATAGTGCAAAATAGTGGGAAGTTTTGAGGTGCACAAAACATGAACAATCAAAGACATGAAGGGGACTTAAATCGAGGGGATTTGGAACTAAGGACCTCAAAGGGAGACTTAGCTCCAAGTAGTTTTCTAGGAGTGCGACTAATCGAGAAATTATGGTACGACAAACACATTCCCCTCAAAACTCATCAGGAAAAGAAGTTCGAAACATAAAAGAGTGTGCAACATTTAGAAAATGTCAATGTTTATGCTTGACACGACCATTTTTTTATGGTGCACCTACACAAGTGTGAACTGAAAAACCCAAGGAATTATAAAGTTGGTGCAAAGAATTGTTCAAGATTTATATGCCATTGCTCAAGTGAACAATTTTAACTATTTTATTAAGTGTTAATAAAGGAAACAAATTGTTTCAAGAAACTTGACATATCAAATTTATCATTAATGAGATAAGGCCAAATAGGCCTTGAATGATCATCCTCAATGCTCAAAAAATATTGAGCACTAGTAGCTAAGCTAGGGGTGTATGATCCCCGAGCCATAAATCATAGTGAACCAAATAAAAAATATGAGTAACTTTATTAGAACTAATTGGAATCACAGGACGAGTTTGTTTTGACTAAAAACAAAGATCACAAGTCTGAAGCTTTTTTAAACAAGAGCTCCTTTTATTAGGAAAGAAAGATGACAAAACTTGTGGAGATGGATGACCCAAACACTAATGAAGTTGTAAAGTATCCACATGAGTGGAAAATGGAAGAGAAAGTGGATAAAACACGTATAATCCATTGAAAGCTTCACCCCGACAAATATCTCTCTTTATGAGACATTCCTGTATTACACAAAAATGTTTGTTAAAAATTACTATGAAAGAACTATCACGAATAAGGCATGCCACAAAAATGAACAAGGCATGCGAATAATACTTTCTCAAGTACCAATGCTGAGGAAAAAGAACACTACCACATTTCTTAATAGTTGTATCAGCGCTGTTCCATTTAGTAGGGAAATACCACAAGGTTTCACGCGTGTGACATTGAACAGGGAATGGATATTACCAATCATATGATTTGATGCTCCACTATCCATGATCCAATCAAGAGATGAACTGGAACTCGTACAATAACCATTTTCAAAGTCATTAGTCTTAAGCATTGAAATAGACGAGCCACTTGATCCAGAGTAACGCCCATGCTTTCTGTTGACAAAGATACTGTGTTATGACCCTATGGTTCTAGACCACCATCGCGCCTACCACGACCACTGCCACGATCCCCTCTTGATGGCGTCCCACCTTGACCATGACCACAACCCAAGGGTATCCCATGATTTTATAACACCTATCAATAGAGTGTCTTTGTTTTCCATTGTGAGTGAAAGAATTTAGGGTGCATTGGATGTGGCTGGTTGGCACGCAGCAAAAAAACTCCATCTATTCTATCATCACTACTTCGTAGAGTACTTCTGTGGGACTCCTCTTTCTTCTAGATGTAAAAAGCTTTGTGCCTTAATCACCCTCTACCTTTTCTTCTTCTTCTTATTCCCTTCCACCTTTGTCTTCTCTTTCTTATAGGTCTACGATGGTGGGGGATGGTAGTGATGGAGGAACTTGCGGTTGTGGTGGGGGCTAGTGGTGACGGGGGTACTGGAGGAGAAGGTGGCGTTGGCAGTGGTGGTGGGGCTGGTGATTGTGGTGGGGTACAGTGTTGATGGAGGGACTAGCGGTTGTGGTGGGGGTTAGCAGCGACGAGGGTGCTGGAAGAGAAGGTGGGGTCTGGGGTTGTGGTGGGGGATGCCGACAATGGGGGCTGATGGAGATTGGTATTGGGCAATAAGAAGATCATTGGTGTGGACAATGAAAGGGTATTTTTGACCATTCTATTCCATAGTCAACCACTCATAAAAATGATCAAAATTTAAAGTGGGAAAATCATTCTCGGACGGAGGGAGTAGCTTTCGTTTAGCCAGTGGCGATGGAGCGATTTGTTTCAGATTCATTCTTCTGCCAAAAACCAAGGACTAGTCGGCAAATTATCAGGCAGAGCTCTTATTCAGTAACGGAGCAGATAGGTTAATGTGAACATTCTGCATTTCAGCCCATATGTGCGAAAAAAGTCAGGCAAGTTAGTTGTACTTGTTATTATTATACAACGTATTTAAAAATAAAGGGGACAGGTTCAGACCACTAACTGAGGATAAAGATGCATAGTTATTCATCTCTTTCAAATATTTGGTTTAAGTTAAGGGAAATGGACATCATGCATGATTTTTGTGTATGGAATTAGTGTTGAGTTTTCCACTTGGACAAACACTTTTCTAAAAAATGGCATGTTCCTTGTTTTATCTTGGTGTTCAATTAATACTCAATGATGTAGAATATTGTACTACCGAAAATTACAAATGGATTTTGAGAAGTAAATTTGAGCTCCCATTACCATCATCATTGTCATCTTATCATTTTGTTTTCCAATTTTTCAAAGCTTCAACAAAGGTTAGCAGTTGCTCCCTAATTATTTTATCCATTATATATTATTGAAGAGACATACTCACCAACCTCTCCGGGGCTAAACTCTTCGAGGAGGGGTAACCGAACTTGTTGGGCATGCTCTCATTGCCCGCAACTTGCTCCCATGGCGTAGCTCGCATCTGATTTGGTTACATCTACTTATTTGAGTGTGATTTGAGATCGTATTTGCATGAGATTTGCTTCTACGACTTTGATTGTTCGTCAATGTTTCATGTTGTATGCCCAATGTGTATGTTCTGCAATTTTTCCTAAAGACATCACTTGGCACAACTACTTTTGGTGTAGGCCCGATGTGCGATATAACTGATTCCAATCAGCTCTCATTCAACCTCTTCAGAAAAGATCCATGTCATCCTATTTTTCTTGGAGGCTATCTCTTATGTGTTTTGTTACAGGGGGAGACAAATCCCAAAGTGCTCACTTTGGGAGGGAACTCTAAAGAGAGAAAGAGTAGAGGATGAATCCTAAAGGAGGGTTCACCAAGCCTTAAGAGGGCCTCCTGACGCTTGATCCTTTTGAGGATCCTACTTGACCACCTTGCCCCTTGAAGACCAGGTCATCTCAAGTGTCCCTCAAGGAGGAGCCAAATTCTCGCACGAACCAACCAAGGGAAGGGAGCTTTGAATAGGGGGATGAAAATGGTCCTTCTTAGCGCACAACTTGTTTAGTCTTGCAGAGGAAAAACTCCATCCCCATATCGCTCTAGCACAACACCACAAAAAAATCCCATGTTCACTCTCCCGAGGTCAAAGTGGAAGATTTCAAGCACATTGTAAAGCCTTCCATGAGGAAAAAGAACATCAAAATGATACAACATGACATGGGAAATTATTAACACCATCAGTTAACACCATAAGCACCATCGCAAAAATTGATACATGTACATGTGTTCCTATTGCAGGAAGTGAGGACATATCAAAAAGCAGTGCTAGAAGCTAAAAAGTATAAGAACGAGGAGAATGCCTTCCACCAAAACCTTCAAAAAGATGATAATGATGTGGAATCCTAAACATACTACATCACTTGCCAATTCATGTTTCAAACTCACACCTGCTCAATGGGTCTTAAATAGTGGGTGCTCATACCATATGACTGGTGAGAAGGAGAATTTATCAAATCTTCAGATCGTGGAAGGTGGAAATGTCAGATTTGGGGGAGGTGCTCATGGTAGAATTATTTAAAATGGAACCCTTAATATCTCTAGAAACTCACCAATTAAAAACATGTATTTGGTTCAAGGACTTCAAGTAAATATTCTAGGTATGAGCCGAATTTGTGATCAGGGGTTGGAACTAAATCTTCACTAGGGACCACCACCACTCAAATCGATACATCAACTACATGTGTTCTATTAAGAAAAAATAGACATATTCCATTCATCGCTCGCACTATCATAAAGACACATAACCTCCCTCAAAGTTTTTGGGCCAAAGCTTTGCATACAGCTTGTTGCACCATAAATGTGTATATCTCAAAATTGGGACTAAGGCAACACCTTAGAAATTATGGAAGGGTAAAACTCCAAATATTGCACACTTTCACATCAGTGGAGAAAAGTGTTATGTACTCTGCAACTGTGAACAAAGAGGGAGGTTTGATAAAAAAAAGTTATGAGGCTATCTTTGTTGGTTACTTTCCAAGCAGCAAAGCCTTTAGAGTCTACAAGAAGCGAACCAGAAGTATAATGGAGTCAACAAATGTTGTTGTAGATGATCAATTGCACCCAAAATCAAAAGATGACACTCATGATGCTCAAACAACCACAAGAAGTTATATAAAAGGCTAGCTGTTAGAAAGCGATGAGGAAGAGCGTGACAAAATAATATTCCTGAAATCGTCAAAGTCCTAAGTCACATTCACAATAATCATCCTTGGGAAAGCAAGATTGGTACACCTACTCAAGGGATTAGGACATGTAAAAACTTTGATATTTTGGAGATGACTAAGGCTCACTATATGTCATCTATTACACAAAAGAACATCGAGGAGGCTTTAACGGATAAAGCCTGGATAAAAGTTATGCATGAAGATCATGGAAAATTTGAGAGAAACAATGTTTGGGAGCTTGTTCCTAAACCTGATCACGCCAATGTGATCAGAACAAAATGGATTTACCTAAACAAGACGGAAAAATAGGGTAATGTTATTTGAAATAAAGCTCATATTTTGGCTCAAGGATACGCTCAGTCTGAAGGAATAGACTTGGAAGAAACTTTTTCTCCCGTAACACGACTTGAATTGATACGCATGCTAATTAGTATGTCATGTGTGTTGAATATGAGGCTATATCAGGTGGATGTTAAGACTTCCTTCTTAAATGGCTATCTTAAAGAAAAAGTGTATGTCTCACAATATAAAGGTTTTAAAGATCCCAAAAATCTTAAATATGTGTATAAACTGCAGAAAGCAATCTATGGGCTAATGCAAGCACCTCAGCATGGTACGAGAGATTAACCTCCTATCTTGCAAAGGAAGGATACAAGTGAGGGGGTGCCAAAAATATTATGTTTTATATCATTTTTTATTCAAAAATTCTGAATGCTCAAATTTATGTTGATGATATTGTTTTTGGCTCTACATCTAAATTTCGTGTTGACATGTTTGTTTATGTCGTGGAGAAAGATTTTCAGATGAGTATCAAGGAGAATTAACCATCTTTTGGGGTCTTCAAAGCAAACAAACTCTTTAAGGGATATTTATTTCTCAAACCATGAAAAGATCTACAGAGATGACAATGGTAAAGAGGTTTATACGACACGTTACAGAGGTAGTATTTGGAGTCTCATATACCTCACTACAAGCCGACCTGATCTATGTTATAGTTTTGGAGTTTGTGCCAGATACCAAGAAAACCCCAAGGAATGTCATCATCTAAAAGTAGTAAAAAGGATCTTGAAGTATTTCAAAGGGACACAAAATTTGAGACATTGGTACTCTAGATGTGGTACAATAGATCTTATGGCATTCTGTGAGGCGGATTTTTCTGAAACAATTTTGACCGAAAAAGTATATCTCGAGGATATTTTTTCTAAAAGGAAATCTTGTTGGATGGTTAAATAAGAACCAAAATTTGAGACATTAGTACTCTAGATGTGGGTCTTCAAATCAAACAAACTCCTAGTTTGTACCCTCGATTCGATATATTTGGATGTAGGTGTAAAGTTTAAAAATAACATTTATATAGTAAAAAAATACTTGGAAAGTTCTACAAAACAAGAGATGACAAGACTATATTACTTTTTAAAATTAGTAAAAGTCTATAAACATTGGGGGTGGAGTAAAATAGATAGAAACAATAAAATAAGAGTTATATGGATAAAAAGGGAAAGAGTTATAGGGGTAAAATAAGATATGACAATATTATATTACTTTATTTTTTCTAAGGATGGAATTGTAACGTTTTGAATAATATGAATAAAAAGGTAAGAGTTAAGAATCTAATGGACAAAGGGGTAGAGTAAAAACATGTTTGAAGATATGCCCTAAATTTAAAATTTAGTGAGAGTTTTGACATGATTTCTCATATAGTTAATGACTTTTTAGGAAAACTCTTTTGTGGTCCTTAGGTTCAAGTTCATTTTATAGAAGTTAGTACATCACCAAATTGTTATCGATAGAGGGCCTTGTTATATGAGTCTATGAAAAATATTTGAGAAAGTCCATATTTCAAAGCTGGACTTTAAAACAACAATACTACAACTTAACTTCTTAACATAGTCTTTTGCAAGGCCTAGATTTCCATTTAGCTGTGTGTGAAAAATGTTAGCGTATCTCACACAAAACATGTCAATAATATAGAAAATTTAAATAATTTCATGTGGTGGCAATGTGGTAATTGTCATTTATATTTGTCTTTTTGTACTTTCATATTTTTTCTATAATCTTTAGGAATTTTTATTAGAGGGTATTTAATATTTAAAGGAGGTAGGCTAGTAAAACTTACTATTTCTCCCTTTGTGAATATAAGGGATTTCACCCGGTCGCATATGTTCTCAAGGACCAAATCATCCATGTGTTGAAATAGAGGCACCTGAAACATAATTTCTGAAATGATACACAAAATAATGAAAATTTATGAAATTATAATCTAAATGAAGTACTTTGGGCATTAATTGTCACCTTTGTTTTAAAAGAAGTAATGTTAATTATAAAATACTCTGTACTGGAGAAAATAGTAGTAATGTGTCTAAAAATGACATTGATTTGTATATTAAGCTGTAGTAATATATGCTCCAGTCAAGGTATTATATATAGTCTAGCCGTACCAATATGATTTGGGGGGATATCTAATTCATTTGTTTGCTATATACCATCATCTCTGATGGAGCCGAAAATTCACTATTTTTTGGTTTTGGGTTTGATGGAATAAAAAAACGAATCTCTAAATTGCTTGTGCTTCTTTAGTTAATGAAGTAGCATTTGGTCAATCAATGCAACTCTCGACGCTGAGCTGAGGGTCTCTTTGGAAATAGCCTCTCTACTTTCGAGTAGGTGTAAGGTCTGTGTACATACACCTTCCCCAGACCCTACGCTTGTGGAATTCAATAGGGTTGTTGTTTTTGTTGTTGTTGTTGTTGTTTGCTAACAAAAATACCATAAACGGAGGTAGTGCCATTGACATTAATTTTTGATGAAAAAGCAGCACACCCGATGGACAAAGACTCTCCACTCATCTAGAAGGCTAACCCCGCTTATGAATCATGGAAGATTATTGATGCTCAAATCTGATCCTGTCTTCAAGTTATCGTCTCTCCCACTGTGCAAGCCCATACTCACTATCTCTCCTTCCCATTCGAAATATGGACCCATCTTCAGCAGAGGTATAATCCTTTATCTTAGACTCATATTCTTCAATTCAAAGATCGTCTCCATGGCCTTCGAAAGGGAATAGGTTATACGCAAAAATATCTTGATGCTACTCTTTGTATTGGGACATCTCTTAGAGTTGCCGAGTAGATTATGTTTGACACATGACAGGATGAGATTGTAGAAGTAGGTGGGTGAGTCGGCGCTGTGGTAGTTGAACTACACCTCCTCGTAGATTTGCAGCCTCGGGAGGCTCTTGCGGTTGCTTTAGCCAAGTAGGGCTGATAGTAGTAGTGGTGGGGATCAGGATGATTGTCTGGTTGATGCTGGTGGTGGAGGTTGGGGCGACGGTGGGTTTGGTGCTGGTCTTGAGGCCTTACGGAGATGATGGGAGTTGAGGGGAGCAATGGTGATTGTGATCATGACGGCAGCAATATAATCAGCGAAATCTACTTGACAGCAGCAGCGATGAGCTTCTTCTCGAACAAGCGGCACTCCCTCTCTTCTTGGGCTGCTCAAATCTTAACAAGGGCTTCATGTCGTGGTTTTCAAGCAAAAAAAAAACAAGAAAGGGCAGGATGGTGTTTTAGATAATTAACTCCCATAGTCAACCCTTTTTAAAAATGATAAAATGTCAAAATGAAAAGTTGAATACAAGAAGAAGAGACTAATTTATACGAGTTTTAGATTTAAAATTTTAAAATGCTACATACACATCATACTTACACCATATCTAAGTAATTGAAGCAGACTGGCAAATCTTGTATGTTTTACCTATTATGTGTATGCTCTGTTTGTTCCAGTTATAAAAACAAACTTGGATGTTTGTAGAAATTCGAAGGACATAGAAAGAGCAGGAAGAAGTTGGAAAAAATAGAAGTAGTTCGAAAAAACTAGGAGTTGCAAGAAGTTGAAAAGAGTTGTAGGAAATTGGATAGAGTTGGAAAAATAGAAAGATGTTGGATGAAACTAGAAGAAGTTGGTTAAAATTGGAAGGAGTTCGAAGAAACAGAAAGGAGTTAGAAAAAATGTTGAAAAAATAAAAAAGGTTGAAATAATTATTTTAATTTATAAATTTCCTATTTTTTTAAAATATCTTATACCCAACTTTTTAAAATTTATATCTTCTTTTATTTTCTTCTATAACATTTTATTTTATCTCAAATCATATTAGTAATTTTTTTGACTCAAACTCTTGTTTTCTTTACTTTTTAAAATTAATATAAATCATATAATTATTCATTTTTTAAAGTGTATGTCACCAATCCATGTTTATTAAATATCTCCCCAAATAAAGGTGTAATACAACCATCTTTAGGTAAAATGTAAATCAAACCATATCATAAAAATAACAATAATAATGAATAAAAACTTACTTTATTTTATTTATTCAAATTTTGCTTGTATGTAGCATGTAGAATAATGTGGATAGGAACATAATCAATGTCATCAGATTTAACATAATCATATTTTAAAAGTTATAAAGGAATTATAAATCAATTAATTTAACATTCTAATAATTAATGTTGACTCTATAATGGTAACTAAAATTTATCTCGAGGATAATTCTTTTTAATAATTTGGGACATTAAATCAATTTTTTTGAAATAATAATAACAATGACTATAATAATAATAGTAACATATCTCAAAATACAGCTTTATAAATATCTTAAAGTCATTGTTGGAAAAACTGATAAGAGTTGGAAAAACTGGAAGGAGTTTGAAAGCATAGGAAGGAGTTGGAAGAAAGTAGAAGTTCAAAAAAATAGGAAGTTAAGAGTTAGAACTGAAAAGAATAGTTCCATAAACCGATAAAACTTACTTATAATTTTTAAATATTGGATATATATAATGAAAATGTCGTAATGGGCGATGTGAATTTAGCATTTTCTAAAAACTTGGATTACAAAAATCAATGGTTAAAATTTGAGCTAAAATGATGTATGTATATACGTGTGTACCTGTCTAACCAAATCCAAACACAGATGATATTTGATGTCCCTCCTTAGACCTTCAGGAAGGTTTTGGATCATTTCACATTCATCTACTCCACGCATTGCCGCCCAGCGCTGTCGCTCATAATTTCTCACTCTATGCCTGAATTCCTGCGGTAAGCGTCTTCTCCTCATCCACCATTCCACATTCCTCATCTTTAATTGCATTGCTTGTTTTTTTGAAGTCGTTGCATGCAAAAATACCTGTCTCTCCGCAAAAATTGATATTCATTAACAAGATTTACTCATAAAGTATGAAAGTGCTTTACTCATATGAAATATAATATTTTTTATTGTCTTTAAATGATTACTAACTAATTAACTATTAATGTAAATGTGGCTGTAAATTAATATAATCGTGATATATTTCTCAATTAATCTAAAAAAATACAAGGTATTGAATATATAGGTGGAGTTGGAGTATTCTCAATTCTTTACATTAATTTCTAAACAAATAAGGTAATATTGTATAATAATAAATTTAGCTATAATAGGTAACAACCATAATTATAATAGATAATATTAAATATATTAAATAGTTAATATATTTAACATGCTCCCATTGTCCTAGACAATGAAGATTGAACACCAACATTAAATTAAATCATGACCAGAATCATAATAAGAACCTAGAGGCATATCTTCCACTAGAGCAAACTGAATGCATCGAGACTAGAATGTTAGACTTGGTTTGCTAAGCCTTGTGTTTTGATGTTAACAAAAAATATAATAGCTATCGTTTGTTTTAGTGTTTCAGGTACAACAACAGTCCATTAAGATTTGGTTCTCAAGAATGACGTCGGAACACTAAACTAGCGTAAAATATAGGTAGAAATAATTGTAAGGATATAATTTTATATACCTATATTACGAGCTAAAATTCACTCACAAAATATGTTAATCACCATCATATAAACATTTTAAAATATCCAAAAGGTTTTAAACTCAAACGGGAAGGATTAAGGCAAATTTATGGTACCATACCATCCTTACGGTAGGCTATATCGTGCCCTCGGTACCTAGGTACCTTTTGAACACAAGTACCGTCAGGGCAATTTGAATTTTTGAAGGTACACGGTACCCGTAGATGGTAGGGCATACCGTGGTCAAGGTACCTTGATACTATATGGTACAACCCTATCGTGATAGGGTACCGGAGCCGTTGCCTACACTGTTCCTGATTGCTTAATCTAAATTAATTCAATCCTAATCACCTCTCAATGACTAATTAACCTCTTTCACTATAAATACAAGCCTAATCTGTCATCTTTCAACAAAAAAACAAAGCTCCAAACATCCTACTTTTATATTTTAAGTGTGTTCGTCCTTTTATTCTTTATTTTCAATATTTTGGATATTTCAAGAGTCTTATTCTCCTAATTTTTATACAAACACTATTGAGCTTATGTTTTAGATACATACTCTCATATTCATTTGCTTATATTGTATTTTTGAGAGAATAATTTTTTTCTACACCGACTAAGATTTGTTTTTAATCTTTGAGATCAAGTCATTATATAGAACCTATTTTTGTGTTCTTCATACACACTTTCTTATGGTCAAGAATAGCCGTTCAATTCTCAATTTGTAACGGTTAAGGATAGCCATATAAACCCTTGGGTAAAGGTTCAAGGATAGCCTTTGAAATCCTTGGGGAGAACGGTCGAAGATAGCCGTGAAATCTTCATTATAAGCGGTTCGAGATAGCCGTTGTAAAATCTCATAGTGAATCCAATTGGAATGGGTTATTTTCAAAAACTAGTGCGGTGCTTTGACGGAATTCAAGAGATCGAGACTTAGTGGATTCAGAAGTCCTTAATGAGGAGCCTTAAGGTAGTAGAGTAGGGAGTTCCTGAACCTGTATAAAATTGGTGGGTCATTTACTTTACACTTTTATTTCTGTTTTATTTATTGCTTCCGCATTTACCAACACCGATTTATCAAATACCGAAAACTTTTTAAATGCCTTATTCACCTCCATCTAAGGAGTGGGCCCAACAACTAGCATCGACTAACAAGTGGTAGCGGAATGGTTTCGTAGTTGAAAGTCCTTAACCGCTTCTACGACAAAGATCTACTTGTTGTGTCCCTTTTTAAAACTGAATTTTGAAGTTTTCAAACCTTATCCCTGATTTCTAACATTTAATTTTTTTTGAAAAATGGCTACAATGGATTCCCAAAGAATTCACCGCCCTTCGTTTTTTAATGGCTAAAGTTATTCTTATTGGAAAATACGGATGGAATATTTTATACAATCCATTGATTTTTATTTGTGGTTGAATGTACTTCACGAGCTAATTGTGCCGAGTTGTGGTGATGTTGCATGTCTATCATCCGAGGACATGAGAAAATCGTCAATGAATGCAAATGCAATGAACATCCTTCATTACTCCCTTGGACTTGATGATTTCACAAGTATGTGCTCATACAAAACGACCAAGGAGGTATGGAACTTGCTTAAAGCCACTCACGAAGGGGACATCTCAACCAAGCAAACTATGATTGCCCTAGGAAACTCAAAATACGAATCCTTCAAGAAAGGGTCACGTGAAATGATCCAAGACATGAACACGAGGTTCAACGAGATCGTAAACAAGTTGATTAAGTTGGGTAAGATGTACACTACTTGCAAGCTAAATATTAAAATTTTATTTTCATTACCTAAAGAATGACATAGTAGTATAGTGAATTTACTACCCAAATGTGATAAGGAAAAATCACCCACATTTGGTCTTCCTTGTATTCTCATGAGCTTTTGTCACAAAAGATCAAAGAGGAAGAAATGCTTGAAAATACAAAGACTACGAATGCTTTCAAAGTCGCTAAGGACTCATCAAGTGAAGAGTCAAGTGCGCCAAGTGATGATTCAAGTGGCTCAAGCTCTTTGGAAGAGTCAAATGATGAAGAAGACGAAGAGAAGGAAATGAGAACAAAGTATATGGATTTCCTCACATGGAAAAAACTTGTTAAGAGGAAAGAAGTATATTCCCAGCCGAAGAAAGAACGGCATAAGCCAAGGTAAGTTTATTTTCTTACTTACTAGGATAAGATTATTTTTTTTGTTGTTTTAATTATTTTTAAAATTAAAACCTTATCCATATATGCTGAAATTTGTTTTAGCTTTGATTTGCATGATCATACAATTTTACAAAATTCATTCCTAAAATTATGCCTTTTAAAAACTATCCCCAAATATCCCTGAAAAATAAGCTTTTAGAACTTGCATTATTTTAGGGGGAGTTTTTGTTGAAAATGCACCTTTTCCCCGATAATCTCTAAACTATCACTTTTCCTAAAAATTGATTTTGGTAGGGGGAAGGCTTTTAAGAAGTTATACATGTTTAAAAGTTTTCAAAAAGCCCTTTTTTATTTTGACAAAAGATGGAGAAGATGTATACTTCAAAGTGGTACATATGCAACTTGACTTGAGTTCATTCTTGTGTGATTATTTGAATCAAACTTAAACTTTTAATAAACACAAAAACAATTTCAAAGTGAGTATTTTCAATACGTTTATTCTTACGTGAAGCTTGCTTGCATTTTTATTTTTACTCGCGCCTAACTCGTGTTTTGATGTTAACAAACAATATAAGAGCTAACTTTTGTTTAAGTGTTTGAGGTACAACAAGAATGCATTGAGATTCGGTTCTCAAGAATGACGTCAAAACACTAAAATAGCATGGAATATAGGTAAAAACCATTGTAAGGATATGATTTTATCATATATATATATATATATATATATATATATATATATATATATATATATATATATATATATATATATATATATATATATATATATAAGTTAAGTTAACTTCTTGGGGTGTTGACATGTGGCATGTCACATGTGCATCCACATGTGCATTAGTACTTCATTGAATAATGTTTTATTATATCTTATATATCCTATATAGGATTATTTAATTAATCCATTTTTTATTATAATGTTTTATTAATTAAAACCATTTTCATTAGTACTTCATTCAATAATGACCATAAGTTTTGTATAAAATTTTTGTTTTTAAATAAACATGTCAATACATATTCCACCAGTTTAAAACATATTTTGTTTATATAATTAAAGTATATCTATAAAATATTTTTTAACTTTATCAATGTTTTGAAAAATTAAGTTTTATATGGTTTTAAATACAATAAATCATTTCTCTTTTATTACTTTTAAAGAAAATACTTATAGAGTCTTTAGTGCATGTACATCTATATTTAAATTACATTATTTGAGAAAAGATATATATCTTAGAGTTAAAAAAGTATTCATCTAACACATATTATGTCACTATTAGAAAACTAAAACAAATAAAATTATATATATTCACAAGTATACCTATATATATTTAGAATGTATACGAGCCCGTGCGAAGCACGAGGTTAACACTAGTATACCTATATTCACAAGCTCAAACGCACTCACAGAATATGTTTAAAACCATCAAACAGACATTTTCAAATATCCAAAAGGTTTTAAACTCAAACGAGAAGGATTACGGTGAATTTTAGAAAAACGTGGACAGTGGTACGGTACCCTTAACGGCATGCCATACCGTCCTTATGGTAGGCTATACCGTGTCCTCAAGACCTAGGTACCATTTGGACATAGATACTGTCAAAGCGATTTTGAATTTTTGAAGGTACACGGTACCCCTAGACGGTAGGGCAGGTCATGGTACCACCCTACCGTGACAGGGTACCAAAGCCATTGCCTGCACTATTATTGATTCCTGAATTTGATTTAAATCAATCCTAATAACCTCACAATGGCAAATTAACCACATCCACTATAATTACAAGCCTAATCTTTCATTCTTCAACAAGAAACAAAGCTCCAAACATCTTACTTTTATATTTTGAGTGTGTTCATCGTTTTATTATTTATTTTCATCATTTTGGGTATTTCAAGAGCCTTATTCTCCCGATTCTTATACACACACTATTGAGCTTGTGTTTTAGATATATACTCTCATATTCATAGGTTTATATTTTATTTTTGAGAGAGTATACATTCGTTCTACACCGCATAAGTTTTGTTCTTAATCTTTGAGATCAAGCCGCTGTGTAGAACCTATTTTTATGATCTTCATACAAACCTTCTTACTATTGAGAATAACCATTAAATTCTCTAATTGTAATGGTTAAGGATAGCCGTATAAATCCTGGGGTAAAGGTTCAAGGATAGCCTTTGAAATTCTTGGGGGGAACGGTCAAAGATAGCCGTGAAATCTTAATTGTAAGAGGTTCGAGATAGACATTGTAAAATCTCAGAGTGAATCCTATTGGCAAGGGTTGCTTGCCAAAACTAGTGTGTTGCTTTGACGGAGTTCAAGGGACCGAGACTTAGTGGATTCGGAAATCCTTGAGGAGCCTTAAGCTACTAGAGTATGGAGTTCCTAAACCATTATAAAATTGATGTGTCATTTACTTTATGCTTCTATTTCTGCTTTTTATTTATTGCTTCCGCATTTGCCAACAACGATTTTTGTCAAACTCCGGAACATTTTTCAACGCCTTATTCACCCCCCTCTAAGGCGTGAGCATTAAAACTAACATTGACTAACATAGAAGAGATGAAGAAAGACAGATGGTACATAGAGATGTGCTTGCCTTGAGAAGGATATGAGAATAGTTGCTACGGACGGGCTAGTATTGCTGTCGTCGAATGAAGGGGGAGGCTGACGTGCACTGGAGGGGCCGATTTGTGATTGACTAGGGGATTTATTGTAGAGTAAAATAGGCATAAATTACAATTCGAGGAATGAGTGACAAGTGGGGTTGATGCCGCCATTTCTAAATGACAAACCACAAGTGACTGCAAAAATGAAAACTATTAGGTCACCAAAAGCGAAGACTCCCATACCATCTAAAATAATATAAGTGTGATGTATTTCTTAAGTAATATAGATATACAAGGTAATGAATATATAACTAGAGTTGCGGTATCCTAAAATTCATTACATTGGCTAGATAAATAAGGTAATATTGTATAATAATAAATATAGCTATAATTGGAAACAACCATGACTATAATATATAATATTAAATATAATAAATAATTAATATATTTAACAAATGCAAAACATCCTTTTTATAATTACATGGTTTTTTCTAGCCCTAATTCACAACCCACACCCCCTTCAAAGCCAAACTATGTCATCTATCACACCACGATGCCTACCAATGCTGATGAGGCACTCGCCTCTTGTCGTAGGACCCCACCTCTGTTGAACACTCAATTATTTCCATGAACGTCTCCTTCAGCAAACACACCAACTATAAGTAAGTTTTTTCTTGCCCCTTTCCTTTAGTGCGTAAGTTCATGCATGTCAAGTGAAACCCATCAATCCCTAAGCTGATGGGGACCTGTTACGGCTCGCAGTTTGGTTTAAACACCACAAAGGGGTTATTGGTTATCTAACAGCCTAATCCAGTAGTGGTGATACCATAATGACTGTGTCATCGGTCCAAAGGGAACATTCACCCGTCAGCGGAACTACAAAGCTCGTGGCTCCCTTCAATAATTGTGACACATTGGTACTCGCATTTGCTTAAGAGTATCCATTGGTGCGGGCGGCTATTTTTCACACTATTTCTGGTATAAAAACGGGATCGGTAAAGCTCATCTACACTCATACCAAAATTTTTCCGTAACGACCGTGTGTTCGGTTTTTAAAGGCACACAAAGACAGAGAAGCAAGCCTGGGGCGATCGTGCTACGTTTTTCAGCGACGATGGAAGATTGTTTACCTTTATCGTGAGGCCGAGAAGCAAGCCTTTTCAGATTCAATTCCCAATGAAAAGAATCAAATTGGCGAGTAGATGATTTTCATAAATGGCAATGTTTCCGGAGAGACAAGGACAATTGGAGATTTCAATGCTCAAATAGGACAATCAGGGGGGATTATCAGATTCGATTCCTTAGACGGGAACATTTGAGGAGTAGGATTAATATTGCTGGAAGAGATGTACAAAGACAACACCATGATAGGGGGATGAACCTTAAGAGTTATTTCAAATATCTTAGCAAGGGGAGACGATGGAAAAATCGTGCTTCCTGGAGATGGAATTCAGAGATACACAGAAGGTAGGTGTGTGTGTGTATGTATGTGTGTGTGTGACTATGTCAGTTCCTCCGGCAGAGAAAAGGTAAAAGTACCACAAGTCTTTTCTTGGAACTCTTCTCCAGCAATACTACTCTGCTACAAGCCAAGGTTACTGAAACTTGAAAAGGCTTCCCGTCTGTAACTTCCACAAAGGAAGACATATAGTTTCTAGTCAAAACATTTTGTTCAGTTTGGTAGAAAAAATCTTCTTTAGATGAAGCCTTCTATTTGCTTGATCTGATCTGATTAGATTGGATGTGAAGATCAAGTGTGATTTGATCTGATTGGATTGGATGTGATCTCATTAGATCTGATCTAGTGTGATCTGATTGTATTTATATTTAAGGTTGTTTTGATCTAATCTGATTAGTTATGATGTGATTGAGTTTGATATGAAATGATTAGATATGATTTGTCTGATCTGATTTGTTAGAGGTGGACTTTTTCAAGCCTGAATCTACATGAGTTCATGTTTGGCATGGAGAACGCAAACTCTTCTTTTAAATTATTTCTGAAAGCAATTCTCAAATTTTCTCCTTTCGAAGACAGCTTGGCTATAGTGCATCAAAATGCAAACCTAGGGCAGAATCATTTCAGGCTGCCATTGCTCTTGTCACCATGGGAAAGGACTATGAGGCCAAGCTTAATTGGAGAGCCATCAATATAAAGGACCCCATCAAAGTCAAATTCATGTCAAGGAAAGGTGAGAGTTCAAAAATCTTAGACCAAAGTGGACAAGTCATCAATAAGGAGCTTAATGATACATCCACATGTTAGCCTGTCCTTTTAGATGCTCTGGAAATATACGTGAGAAAATGGACGAGAGAGAACTCGAGATATAAGACATATGAGGCACAAGTGATAGGTTATTAATTATTAGAACATATTGCAAATTCACATTCACATAAACACAAATGACTGGTTAGAAACATTTGTGGTAAAAACAATTCCAATTGAAAAGGAATAAAGTTTGAGTTACCTTGATATTTCCAATCAACATCGTGACAAGAAGTAGCCCACTAGTAAGCACAATAATTATGAAAACTAACTCAAGCCAATCTGTTGTGATCTCCAAATTTCCAAAAGTACTGTTCCACATGTATAAAACTATACACCATTAGATATTATATATTATATAGAAAACTTATTTTACACTAATAAAATATGAATTTTGTATTGTTGATACCTATATGTCTATATTGATAACTTCAATATTAAATGATATAATGAAAATTTCAAAGAAAATAGACTACATATCGGGCATTATATTATGTAATTAACTCAAGAAGTGAGTCTTATATATTCACAGGTGTTGGAACACAAGTAAGATTCAACCCAATAATAAACGCTAAATAATAGAAAACACTACCTTAATCAATACAAATATTATTATTTTCTAACATCCCACCTTAAACTAAATATCGTGAAACAAGAGGAAGCTTGAAGACAAGGTCTTGTAACCGTGGAGATGGTGGTGCATTTGTGAGTAGATCGGAAATCTGATCAACAGAGGACACATAAGAAATAGTCATAGTTTTAGCAATGACTTATTCTTGAACAAAACAATAGTTTGTGCCTACATGCTTCATGCACTTGTGGAAGACAAGATTCTCGATAAGCCAAATGGCACACTGAGTGTTATAGAAAAGATGTGGAGGAGGCATATGAACTTTCAAGCCTACAAAGAAATAGTAGAGCCACTCGTACAGAAGAGAGAACTTAGTACTCTGCCTCTATTGATGATGTAGCAACTCAAGTCTATTTTTTGTATTCCACGAGATAAGATCAGGACCAAGACAAACTATTTTTTGTAAGTCACGAGATAAGATCAGGACCAATCCTTGGTCAACATTTCCCTGAATGTATTGTAATATTTTCTTCAAAGAGCGGAAATCATGTTGAATGTGTGCATGTATACGCAGACAAACATGGTTTACAACAAACGTAATATTTGTCCTAGTTTTGGTAAGATACTGAAGACAACCAACAAGACCGAGAAATAAACATGACAAAAATATACTAAAAAACAATGGAAAGGAACGATAAATTAGGTCATGTAAATTACGAATCACGCAAACAGCGATAAAATAAACATTGCATCAATTTTTATCATGTATGCTAGAGCACTTATGTTTCCATGGAGAAGGCATTGCTGAATGAGGGGATTGAGCCTACGCCGGATGAGATATACATCAGTACAATTGGTGGGTAAGATGCAACAAATCGTTTCCATGCAATAAGAGACCTCGCCCATAGCTTGACACTAATGAACAATAACGAGGTTCGATGCGCTAGTACCAGCTCCATGTGAGACCCCCGTGATGAGGAGTTGCAAAAGATGAGAGAGTTGGATGAGATGAGGCAAACATAAATAATAGAGATCTCCACCATTAAAGAGCAATTGTTGCGCCTCACAACAGGACATCTTCCAGACAACAATGGCACTAGTGTTGTAAGAGGAAAAGGTACAATGGAAATGGCAAGAAATACTCATCTTGTTGCCAAGTGGTCAGAAATTGAAAATAGTTGGTAAAATCATCTTTAACTATGGTGACAAAAATCATTTTTTCGGTAAAAGCGTCATAAAAAATCGTCGTCGCTAAAACTGCCATCAGCTGGCAATTGAAACAAAAAAATTGTCAATCTTGATAGTAACAAAAACATGTTGGAAACAAAACCCTCACCAATTCTGACATTGATGCCAATTTCCAAGTTTGTATATTTTTTAGTGAAAGTGGGATTCATAAAAGCCATGTGGGGACCATCGTCACTTGCTTGAACAAGCATCACGGTTGCGTACAGCGTGTAGTCGCTAACAGCAGCCGTATGCAGTAGCTCTCGTGCATATTTTTCCAAAGAGGAAGCCAAATACACATCGATTTGTTTGACCTCAAGCCCTAGGAAATAATGAAGGAGGCCAATATCCTTTTTCTGAAACTCTTACTACATGGTGACAAAGAAGCCAGTTGCGAGAGTTGAGGTGCTTCTTGTGACCATAATATCATCAACATAGACACGTAATATAAGAGAGCCTTGTGAAGGGGCATTATAAGAGTATTTTTATTTGTCTTTGATAAACTAATAAACAAATAAAATGTGGGATTTAAGGGAAGGGGAATGAAGAAGGTTGTTTAAGTGAAGAATACATGTGGATGTGGCTAAATTACTTGAGCTAGTGTGTGAGATTCAGAATGTCTTACTTCCCAAAGTGGTGATAAAATTTGTGCCTTTATATAATGAGGGATTCTACTGCCTAGATAAGTCAAGATAGTGTTCTGGTGTTTAGATACCAATTCTGTCTTGCTACCTTGGTTCAATAAATTCTTGTGTATAATAACCATGTGGAAAACAACAGTATGACTCGTCATAGCACTGCCAGCAGTCCCACACATGCATGTTTAGCCTTTTCAAGGGAGTTGAAAGATCAATTGTTTGTCCTGGGGGCACCTCAGCCATGATTGCCGTCCCTGCAATACGATAGTTGCTGCTGACTGTAGAAACCAATTACATTCCCCCTAAAACCAATGCCACTACCGTGGTTGGTCCGGCCACCTTAGATATAGCCTTGCCCATGTAACCACCACGAATTGAATTTGTAAACAAGGAATTATATACGTCTCAAAAGGAAGAAGCATTACCGGTTATATTTTTTGTTCAATTTGAACATTTAGCTCCAAGGACAATAACAAATAATAAACTTGATTGAATCTTAACGTCCCAATGTTTATAAGAATATTCTTTTTCAGAGATGCATATTCGGCGGGAAGGCCTTGTTGAGTCGTAGGACACAGAGAATAATTTTTTGTTCTAACATAACTTCATGAGCCATATTAGGAGTTGCCACAATACCAAGAACAACAATATCAAGATAAATGTTCATATAGACATCGAATTATACCTTCGTTGAAGATATTTCCATTTTTCTACTAATGAGGTTAACAACTTAGTATGAGCTTGTTCAAATGGAGACACGTTAACAATAACAGATGATCATATTTGAGCGTCAATAATCATCAATGCTTCATAGGCTAGTTTACAATTCATAACTAGTGGAGCATCCTTGGCCAGCGCCACTCCCTCGTCGTCGAGAACCGGTGGGGGTAGTGCTACATCAGTGCAGTTAATGCATGTCGCCAAGGAGGCGGTGATTAACCGTATTTGCTTGAACATTTTCCAACCAGGATGGGTAATGAATCTCATCAAATTTTGCATGGGTAAGAGATTGAGGATTCCAAACAAAGAAATTAAGATCGGTAAGGAGACGATCCATTGGATTGTTGGTAAAGGGGGCAATGCATATAAATGATGACGTTTAGCGATGGTGATAACGGAAGAAAGCCCTAAGGTCGAGTGAAAACGAAAGAAACATAGACTCGAATACCATATTGGAATAATAGATTTACTCAAAGAATAATGAAAGATACAAGAGAGTTTACATAAGAAGCCATCCTAACAAAAGTAGGATTCAACCCAATTATAGAAGCGAACTAATAAACCAACACTACTATATTAAGCACTCCCTCTCTCCTAGAGTATTTATCTAATTTTGACTTTTTGTAGTCAATTGTGATCAACCTTTGACCAATAATTATATAAACCATAGATGGTATATAAATAAGATAAAATAATATTTTGAAAATAATTTCCAAGTTAAATTTAATAAATTTATTCTTGTATCAATGTCAATTATAAATTTTATTTAATTAATGGTAAACATATATTAATTTTCAGAGCAAAAAGTCAAAACTAAACAATAACTCTATGATGAGATAGTACAAACATTATTCATTAAACTCTATTTGGTTCTTTAAAATTTGGGGGGTTTCACATTTAGTCCTCTATTATCAAATATGACGTTCATGGTCCTTTGTATATGGGTACCATTTCCAAAGATAGTTCTTTGTTTGACCTTTCGTCATGTAAGTCTTAAACTGAGTACTAGAAGTGTAATTTCACATCAATCCAAGGCCAAGCCATGTATTTTGGTTTCATCTTGACAAACATCATAACAAAAATGAATTATGGACTTGGATTCTGACCAGCAACGTCAGTTATAGATTATGGTTGCGGTGGTCGGTGACTCTAGTGGAAAAACGATACATCAAATGCAAATGCTAGCATTGGCTAAAGCAAGAAGGATGTTTGGTTGATGTGAAATTACACATTTAGTCCTCAATTTAACACCAACATGACAAAATATCAAACAAAGGACTATTTGTGAAAAGATACCCATAAATAAAGGACAAGGAATATGATATTTGATAATAGAGAACTAAATATGGAAAATCATTCGTTTTAAAGGACCATTATATAATTTATTCCATATTATTATCTAAAAATTGTTTGATGTTTGAAGAAACCAAAATAAGTAACTCGAGATGTGAAGGTTCATAGTCTTTAAACTTTGGAAAATTATAATTTGAATGCATTGCTTATACATTTGATCTAACATGTTTCTAAAAGCAAGAGAATGTATCATGTGACCTTGTAATGTCCATATATCATACTTCAACTACACAAAGGTTGTATAAAATAAAATTATATGCAAATAATGGAATTATTATAAGAAAGAATATGAATTAATTGATGAAGTTCACAAATACCTTAGAGTCATGAGTCCCCAAAAGATAGGAAGAAGCATCTTTTCCAAACGACTATCATTTGTAACTAGTTGGAGAGTCCATTTATATGCTCCATGAAAAGAATCATCCTCACTAAGGCAAGTTGATCTTGTTTGGTCATTTCCCCCCCAAAACAAACGAGCTTTGTCCTTCACCATACTTGCAGTTCCAAAATATATTGGCTCCTCAGAAACCAACAACCTAGCACCACAACCATTTGTCATTTTGCATTCTTCTTTAAGGCATCTAGCAGTCCTTTGGATTCCAAGCAAGTACCAACAAGCCCCTACCGCCTGAAAACCAGTTCTAGAATATTAAGTTAAATTAGGTTATTATTCCATTGAAACAACGTTTTCAAATTAAAAGTTCAACATACAAAATCTTCTACAACCCCATACCTAATCCCATCATTTCAAAATATGGTTATGAATTACTAATATAATTCAACTTTGTAAGTTGATTTTCCTTTAATAAAAGAAACAATATGAACCAACAAAAGTTTTTTTAAGACACTCTTATCTCAACTTTTACTAATCATATAAAGGGCAAGAGAATATGTTATGAAAAGAAATGTGATAGACCCTAATTGTACTGAACAAGTCATAGAAGCAAAAGCTTGAGCTATAACATGAGCTACCTAATTTGGAATTTTACGTAATCGTGAAAAGCACTCTGTGTGGAAATATTACATAATTTTTTGTATTCAGAAATCCAAGAACAAAAATATCAATATCGACTTTACCTCTAGAGCTTGATGAAACTCACATTTGAGCTAATATTTTCATTCTCATCCTTTAGAAAACTAAGAACTTCAAAACTACCAATGCCTCTATGATTTCTCCATGAGCCACTATTTCTCGAGAGGAAACCATTTTGTTAAGGAACATTGTTGATCGTCTAGTATAATGAAACCATTCTAACAAGGCTCGAGTGAATATCATACGTGACACAGACCACAGATATCTATATATGATAGAAATAGATAGACACACACACACCTTAAATTGAACAAAACGAAATACATACTTCCAATTAAAGCAAAATATATGCAATGTTTCTATAAGATGCAGAGAACTCGGAGGCAAAAGGTTATGAGTTTTGTATAACATGTTGATACTTAGAAAACTAATCCATTAGGAAAAACATGGCATATAAAGTAACCTACCATGTTTGCGAGAATTTTTTGACCTCACACATGTTTGAAGAAGTGGAAACGAGATCGTTATTCAATGTAGTACTGCCGATACGCTTCATTGAGTCCAAAAGCCTCGTGTAATAAAGTAGTAACTATGTTAACACTGATCTTGTCTTTATAAATTTAGATGCCATTACAATGGTCTTTGAGATCCTAAACTGGGGTCCTCCAATGCTCTTGTCTTTATAAATTTAATAAGATCACTGAAGTGCTCTTCTAGAAATAAAGAAGTGTTGTTTTTTAGTGAATACTCAAAATACTGCTTAATTCTGCCACCCTCTAGACCAACTTCCTTATCTAAAAATGAATCTATGCAAGGAATTTAACGATGAGACATTACAAGCTGGTGTTGATGAATAATTTGAATCATGAGGCATCAAGCCAATTGCATCGTATGAAGTCAGAAGGATTGAGTTGAAGTACTCATCCATTACACCAAATGGACTTGCAAATATATCATAAAACAGATTTTGATACACGAAAAAATCATCACAAAAAAGGTACTTAGAAGAAGAAGCTCTATCGAGAAGCAGCTTCTGCAAGCTCCTAAAGAGAACTTCTTAGGGATACTATTTTAACCGGCTTCAGCAATGTGTGGAATCAAATGAGGCTCCTCAATATTCGGATTTTAGAAATAAAGAGCATCAGGCTAAGCGTAGAACTTGCCTACCGTTTAGCCAAATATTACCTAGAGCCCATCATCCTTTGTCATCCATTCTGATTCTTGTTTACTCAGCTCCAAGATTGAATGTGGTAAAAATAGATTGAATTATTTGCTTGTTAGAAATCTTGCCATCAAATTTACGGCTATTATAGGCTCTCTATATACAACAAGATATAAGCCTAAGGAGGATAACGCTATGTTTACATTTATAAGTTTTCCCTCCTTATTTTAACCACCATTGTGTTAAATGTTGCCTTACTTCATACCAGGTTTAAGAGTTGAGTCATTTGTAAGATTTGCAAAAAAGACAAGACCTTTGCATTTTCCTCACACTAGAGAATGGTATGATCTAGGCTATCTTCATTCTTAAGGAAGAAACAACATCTACTTGGACAATGTATATTGAATCTCCTTAAAGTCTCTGGAAATGCAAGAGCATGAAAAAGGAGTCTCCATTGAAAAATCTTGACCTTAGGTATTTGACTTTTATGCAATATGTACTTATTTGATTTTAGACTGCTTCCATTTTAAATATAGATTTAATAAGCTTCTTGAAAAAGATAAATGATCTTCTACAAGTAAAGTAGAAGCATTTACGTTCTTATCCTGAAAGAAGTCATTTACCATTTTGATTCTCTTTGAACTTGGAGAATCACAAGTTTCATCATTAGAAGATCCATATTTAATGTATTTTCCTCTCATGTATTTTGATCATATTCCTTCATCTTTAAAAAAATTCCACCATAATCTCACGGAATAAGCCATTTGAACTTTTTCCACTTATTTGATGCCAAGCCCTCATGTAGAAGTAGAACTACAAACATCATTCCAGGTCTTCCAGTGGTATTTATTCTTCCCATCCTTGAATCTTCATATAAAATTAGCCTTTATTTTATTAAGAGTTGTGATGATAGATTTAGGAAGACTGTGAACAACCATGAAGTAAAAGAGTTACTGAGAGAATGTGCTTTATATATAAGTATCATCCTCCCCATTTGGTTTAAGAATTTGTTCTACCAATATCGAATGAAGTTGTCAAAGTGATCTAACAGCTTGTAATAGTGGTCGTTTTTCAATTTTCTTTTACATGTAGTAGATATATGAAAGGAAGTTTGTTAGGGCTCATATCGAGTGCTTTTTCCATTTTTTTTAATAAAAGTGGCCTTAGCAATGCTATAAGTAGAAAACTTACTCTTAGCTAAATTTACTTCTTTTCCAAAAGCTAAATAGAAAAATCTTGAAATATTGCCTTAAACCTGAGAACATTCCTCATTTATTTATTTAAGAATATCATTAGGTCATCAGCATACACAAAATGAGTAACCAAAGGAGATTTCTCAAGTTTCCATTGAGTAGAAAAACCACTCTCCATGTGGGCTCTAATAATTCTGTTAAATCCTTATCCCCTTATAATGAAGAGTAAATGGGATAAATGATTTCTTTGTTTGACCCCTCTAGTCATCTTCAAAATCATGAAGGAGAACCATTGACTTGGATAGATTTTTAGGTACTCTCCAAATCAATCATTAAAAGACTTTGTGTTGTTGTAGGGATACCAAAAGATTTTAGCAAGACCTTTATATAATTACAGTCCTTCTCATCAAAAGCTTTTGCCATATCTAATTAAATAAGAACATAACCACCCCCAACACTTTCTGTCAAGAGATTGAATAATTTGTTCTACCATTATAATTTGATCATCAATAGCTTTACCTTTCTGATAAACAGCGTGCTCATTCGATATTATTTTTTGAACAAGAGTTTTAGGCTTTGTAGAAAGAATTTTGGTATTCATGTTACTCATAAAACTAGATAAAGAAATAGGTTAAACTCCCGAAAGTTTTTAAAATCCTCATTCTTTGAATCTAGAGTAAGAAGAATACTTCCATAGGCTCTAGGAACTAGGATACCCATAATGAATTGCAGTAACATTACATAGACATTTTGACAGATGATATCCCATGCTATTCAGAAGCAAAACCCATTGAAACTTTCAAGTCAACTTGCACTATTTTGGTCCAAATCCCAAACAGCTTTCTTGACCTAATCTATAGAAGGTAATGCTTTAATTAAATCATTTTCTTCTCTACTAATGACTTCAAGGATGAAATTAACAGTCTATAAATAGATTTTCAAAATGATAAACGATTTCTTTCTTGATGTCTTCCTCAAAAAATAGATTTCTTCCATTTTTGTCTTTGATTTTCTTTATCGAAAGCTTATTCCTTTTACCTTTGGCATATGCATGGAACAATTTAGAATTAGTATCTCCTTTATCTAATCACTACAGATTAAACTTTTGTTTGTTTTTTGTTCGCTAATAGCCAATAAAGAGTAGCATTAGCTTTACTAGCTAATTCTCTAAGGTCATCTGCTCTAAGGGATTCTTATCATAGCTAGGCTTCTTGTGCCTTAGCTGCAACTTCCTTAGCTTCCTTTAGGATGGTAAAAATATTACCAAAAATTGTAGAGTTCCAATGGTTTAAAACATCTTTTAAGCCTTTAAGTTTTGAAGCCAAACCTTTCATACTAGCAACAGTTTAGGAAGACGACCATTAGTTTTTTACTATCTCTAGAAACTTTTAGATTTATTATTTTCAAAGGCATTCAGCACAAATTAATTTTTTTCAAAATAATTGCTAATCACAAATGTTGTATACAAAAAAGCTTCCATGGTTATCCCTATCTTTAAATCTTGTAACTCCTACATTATATTATAAGATACCATATAGGAAATTAGAGTTTAAGATCAAGTGAAGGGTGCTTGTTCGAAAAATGTGTGAAATGAAATCTATAAATATACTTACGTGGGAGGCCACAAAATATGCAATCATGTTGAGAGCGATCCCCCACCAGATAGTGCCAAAAATGTAGCCAGAAAAGGTCTGCATCCGACGTAGGTGGCACACAGAGTGATAGATCTTTGGAAGATATTGGATTAGAAACATTATCAACAATGTAGTCATCACTTCTGTTATCAACCCTTTCTTCAATAATGCTGGGACTATTACCCACAACACTACCTGTACCAACCTTTAATAATTAATGCCTTCACGATTAAATTTAAATTCCTTTTTCTCACATTCATTTCCATGCAATATGTCCCATATTAGAAGATATGTGAAACACTCAATTATTAAAATAAAAATAAAACAAAATTTATAATTTTATTTAAAACAATATTATAATAAAAGTAAAACCAAAAACAAAATCCAGGGTTGATGTGTTCTGTTTCATTTTACTACCGTTTCCATCATTTAATAAAAACTCATATTTTTGTTTAAATAAACCTCATTTACTACGAAAGCAAGTTTTTAAAAAGTTATATTACTCTTCAAAGGGCCCATTAGTATCATCATAAAAGTATTTTGATATAACTTTATCAAAACGTACTTCTTAAATCCTTTTTTGTAATCTTTTGTAATATATAATCATGAATAGTACTCCCTCTCTCAAAATTAAGTTGTCTCATTTTTCTTTTTGTTTGTATGAAATTAGCTTTGCATACTTCTTAAGGGATTTATTATGAATTTTCTAAAATATCTAATAAATCGAGTATGGCCTTTGTTGGCAAGAATGAAAGATAAACACATTTGAATGTATTAGGAATAATAGATGTATTAATAAATTGAAACCTAGGGATGAAACATATACACAGGGATGAAACGTTCATAGGGATTAGTATGATTAGTATTCTCTTTGTAATCCCTATACATAGGCATCTCTTTTTATTCAACTATGATTACTATTCTCTTTGTAATTCCTATACATAGGGATGAAACCTTCATTGTTCAATAATACCAATTATTATCAAATTGTAATATGATGTAACATTATCAAAACCTAGACTCTTATTTTTCGACAGTGTCATGCCGGTCTCTATTGAGACCAACCACGACAAATCATGGCCTTGCCGTCCTTTATCCCTCTCTCTATCCAAACCAAAATGTGTGCATGATCGAGTAACTGGAAAGCTTTATTTTGTCTATGTTCGAGAGAGGGAACAGTCAATCTATTGTATTGAGCACATTACAGCTTCATTCGTACTCTATACATTCCATATCTTTTTAAATATTTGACTTTTAACACTTTCTAATGCAATGCGTTGATCATTAATATCTTTATTTGTATCTAATCTAATATATAAAAATTTGGTAATTCTAAATTATATTTTGAAATAAATCTATTGATATTTAATTTATATCACAATTCAATATTTTGTTTGCGTAATTTGTGATACAAAATCAGTGGAAGAGTGAGTGCGTACGTACATCAGCTCTAAACGAAGGGTTTTTAAAATATAGGAAACTAACTCTAATGTAAATTATAGTTAATCTCTTTTGAGATGAAGAAGTGAAACATGTTGTTACTTAGCCGCGTTAGATAATAAGATTAAAAAATATTGGTTAGTTAAAGAACGTATAATGGTTTAGACTTGTTACCTGAGGCATTGGAAGGATGACAAATAGATTAAATAGTAAACCCCTCTTGGCCCTAAGCAAGCTTACTGCGGCGGTCATAAGCTTCTGATAATGTAGTGTACTTCTCTGAGAATGATGTCTAGCACTCATAACATGTGGTCGTGGGTAAACCCTAAATTGTAGCCACATATTCCACAAGTGCAACATGTCAGTCATGCATCGGAGAACCGTCACTGTGGTGGCAAACCACCCATCCACAAATAGGCACATGTAGTTATCACTTATGGAGAGGGTGTAGAAGAATAGAGGGTCAACAAATAGTCCGGCGGCGCACACCAAGAGGAACATCCGGTTCCATTCTTGAACCCACACGCCCCCAGGTTCCCATAAGACTTTACTGAAGAAGGATCCTCGGTTAATGCAATTGTATAGCTCTCTATCATCTTCAACATCCTCGTCCTCATCTTCTTCTTCCTCCGTGTCCGAGTAATAGTTGTTGAGTTCACTTGCCATTTTTACTTCTTTTTATAATATATATGTGCATATATATCATTCTTGATCCATAATTGTCCGCGAAATAGATGCATGAAAGAGAAGTTTGTAAGTCTAACTCTTTATAAAAAGAAAATGCAATCTCTAATCTTCCACCCCAAAAAATCTGCTAAATGTAGAAATACAAATCCTTTAAGAGAGTCCCTGCAATTCAAAAAAAACACATGTAAAAGATATACAAAGACTAGGTTCAACTTCCACATCTAGAGTGTCATGGCTAGGTACTAATGCTCAATTATCGCCCCAACTCATTGTATACTACATATATAATAACAGAGAATGTTCCTTCATAAACACCAAAACCATTAGGCTTCTCTTTATATATGGAATTGGAATTTAATTAAAATTGAAATCTTTATAGAATTGAACTGATTGAGTTCAATTCTATTTCAATTCCAAATCCTTTGTTCCAAATCCTTTGTTTTGTATAATTTGTTACTTCCGTGTGTTGTCCTCCTTATGTTATGTTTAGTTGAGTTCTTGTAAACTTCTATTGACATTATTTTTTGACAAACAAATAGATGTTAGATGTATTTGTGTCTCGCCGTTTTGCTTTAATATAGAGTTGTAGCATCTATTGCGAAGGAATTCACTGATTATACAAAAATCACGCTACCTTTATACTTACTTGCGTGAGGTATCAAAGCTCGATCTTTACCATCACAAAACCTTTAAAGAAGATCTTGTAGAAGGTATAATATGCCAATGACTTAGAGACAAACAGAATTTGTCGTCAAGTCACTCATAAGAAGATTAGGTCAATTCATGATATTGAATCTATTGAAGTTGAAGGTGTAATCTTTAGAATGATTTAGTGGAAAGGCTCTTACACGGGTGGGCCTCGCAGACGTAGGAGTTTTTGTTCTGAACTGCGTAAAAATTTTAGTGCATCGTTTGTTTCTTTCTTATTGTTGTTTTATTTATAACAGACACACAAGGTGTTACATCACTACAAGTCACATATCATTGTTACTTGTGTTGTAGCATCTTTGTGCCACACCTTGTTTTATTTTAACTTTGCGATCTACGGATTGGTCTGATTGGTTAATTGGTTTTTCCCCGCAAAATTTCATAGTTGAGCAATTGATATAGACTTTTATTTAATTTAAATCCTTTCTTTGGTAACAAAAAATTGTATATAAAATTGATATATGGGATTGTATTATGATTCCAAGATCCACATACTTTAGTGCTACCAAATCCACATATTATTGGAATTAATATGAAAATTTGGAATTAGAATTCAGTTCCAAATTTACATTTTTTTGCTAACAAAGAGCAGAATTGGAATTAAAGTCATTCCATGGCCTTAATTTTGTGTACCATATGGAGCCTTACATAATTTCACTATGGGGAAAAGACTAAACTTGGAGTAAAACATAGGAAAATACAAAAATAGGAGCTCCATATTTTTATTCCCTAAATATGAGTTACAATGTCAATAATATCAATATATAATATTAAAAACCAATGTGAAATGCCAATATTAGTGCCACATTATCACAATGCAAACATCTATTTTGAGATTAAAAACATGTATCTTATTTTTAGTAATTTCTCTATATTTTACTCCATGTTTTGGTGATTAATTTTTCATTTTTTACTTGAAGCTGATTTAGATTGGCTAGTGCAAGTCTATCAATGGCCCGAAACTGTCAATGGAATTGTGGGGTGGGGAAAAAGAACCTGTACCAGTGTCTTGCAAGGTGATATCAAGTGGCAGGTTGGTGGTTTTGGTACCGAAACCATATGGTACAGGTACGAGTCTGTTTCCGACCATTTGTTTTTTTTAATTTTATATAGGGGGTGGAGAGGTTGACACTGTCGTGGGGACTCCAATGACTCTTTTAGCCATTGCTGGGGGTGGGGGTCAAAACTATTTTTATACAAACCTCTCATATGGCTTCTAAAATCACACAACGAAAGAATGGCTAAGATGATTTGTGAAAAGAATTTGTTGTATATGTTTCCTGAAAAATGTATTTTTATTCGTTATTGTGAAAATCAACCCTGAAGCTAGAGGATATGTTAATAGGAGAAAGGGAATACAAGCTTAAGAGTCAATTACACAAATTTTAGTTGTCCACTCTATTTTCTTGTTTTAAGAATTATGTAACTCATAAATGTGCATAAAATATTTTTGTAACTCGTAATTACTGTCTCTCACCTTAATTTGAGGGATTTTTAATTAATACAATTAAATATATTCTTATTATATTTAATATTGTAAATAATTGGTAGATACCTTTTATGTATAGGTTACCTTTTATGTACTTTCATATCCTAGTAAAGGAAACTCCCTTGGATATATACACATGTACTCTCCCATTATCATTCATTTGAAAATAACAAATCTACATAGTATCAGAGCAAAATTTATTATCTTGGCTCTCATCTCCCTCTATCCCTGTCTCGCACAGCTTCTCCTTCACCTCTAAGTCGCCAATTTCAACTCTCCCACATGTCACCATGGCTGAATCTTCTTCTATCACATCCGATAGACCCTCACCCATCTCTCCCCATCTTGCTTTTACAACCATCTCCAACAGCAAACTACATATTCTCATTCAACTTAGTATCTCAGAACCCAACTAGAAAAAGTGGAGCTGATTATTTCGGTTACTAGTTCTTCGATTCAATCTCCTGGGCTATTTAAACAGCGTCAACACCCCCTCCTATGTCGACGATGTGGAATGGTTTCAATTAGACACTCTTCTCTAATGGTGGATGTTATCTACAGTGATAGACGAAGTCTTGGATCTGATTCATGCAAACAATCCCTCAGCACATGCTATGTGGACGGCAATCTATCATCTTTTTCATGACAACAAACATGCTTAGGCAATGCAATTGTAGCACAGGTTCCATACAGTATCAAGGGAACCAAGACCATGCCGGAGTATTTCCACCTCCTCAAAAATCTAGCAGATTATTTCGATGATGTAGATGCCCTTGTGACCGAATGTGCGCTGGTGCTATACAAGTTCTTCAAGGCTTACATCAGGACATCCTGGCTCATGTTCACTTTGTGCAATACCAAACCCGATTCCCAGTTCCTTGGAAGTTTGGTCGGCCCTCCTTCTGTTCGAATAGCAGTCGGTCGACAGCTCGTCGATGGCCTTGGTTATTAATGGTAGCGGTGGGTCACATAGCAGCAGTGGGCCGAAGAAAAATACAGCCTCGTACTCTTCCCCTAGTCATGGAGGCTATGGAGTTTAGAATGCGATGGCGGCCGGTGGTGGCAACCGTGGCAGAGGGTGCAAACGCGGACGACCTTCTCAACTGACTCCCGTACCCACCCTACCCTGCATAGGCCTACATAGCCTACCCACCTCCCCCAAACCCTCATCACCCACAACCCCAAACAAGCCCATATTATCCCTTTCACAAGCCCTCCCCCTACCCCCTTCATTCAGTCACCCCCTAGCCTTACCCCACACCCTACCCAAATCCACCCAACCCCACAGCCTTAGCACCCTCACTCTCAACCCGCAAGCCACCTGGTTCATGGACACCAAAGCCTCTCACTACATCACCCCTGAGTCAAGTACTTTATCTCATGTATTTCCATCAAGTATTAATTCACCTTCACATATCATTGTTGGTAACAGATCTAAAGTTAGAATTATGGCATCTGGTAACTTTCACCTTTACACTATCCCTCCCCTCTCCCTCAAAAATATTTTGGTCTCCCCTATATCATCTATAATCTCATTTCTCTTCGTCAATTTACCCGCGACAATAACTATTCTGTTGAATTTGATTCATGTGGTTTCTATATGAAAGACAAACTGACAGGAGCCGTGATTTATCGATCCAATAGTGATGGACACTTTTATCCCCTTTCTCATGCACGCTCTTCATCTCATCTCCATCTTGCAAAAGCCGACCTCTCCACATGGCACCACCATCTCAGCCACCCCAGCTCTACTATTCTCTATGGTGTTTCTAGTTTTTTTAGATAGTTTTAATAAATCTTAGTCAGACCTTTTGTGTCATGCGTGTCAACTAGGAAAACATGTTCGCCTTTCCTTTTAATCTTCAAGTCGCATATCATCTTTTTCTTATCAATTAATGCATACTGACTTATGGCAATCACCTCTCCATAGATGATTTTTGTCATTACTTGTGGGTATTTCCCTTGCGCCACAAATCTAATGCTTATTCTCATCTTAATAAATTCCACGCACTTGTGAAAAACCAATTTAATACTAGAATAAAGTCTTGGAAAACGGGTTTACGCCTATGTCGTACTAAACCGTGTTCATTTTATGATAGGTTTTGATAATGCCAAACCGCCGTGACAACAAGATTAAATTGAGCAAAACCAAGGCAAAGGAACATGGCATGATGAACTGAGAACCAAGAATCAAGAACGAAGACTTAGAATTGTATTAAGTCGGTCTTAATGTGATCAAGATCGGCACAAACTTTCGAAACTTGGCTCTCTAGGCTCATATCATCAAAATACTTTTTGCATATTCAAAAATGTTCTTGGTTATTAACAATACATGGGATATTGCNTATTTCAAGCAAATGTCTCTTTAGACACAAACTTGGCCCTACAGGTGAATTGTCCATGTTCAAAGCTCGGTGGGTTGTTCGAGGATTCAATCAGCACCATTGCATTGATTATGATGAGACTTTCACTTCGGTGGTTAAATTAGCCACCATCTGTTGAAACACGGGTTTACCACGTTGTCATACTAAAGTCGTGTTTGTTTTTATGACAGGTTTTGATAATGCCAAACCACCGTGAACGAGACAAATAGTTGAACACACAAGGCAAGAAACAAAGAAGAGAAGAAAGCAAGGACTAAAAGAGACCAAGAACAAAGACCGTAGTTTTAGTGTCGTTGAGTCGGTCACAAATGTGATCAAGACCGACCCAACCTTTGCACTTTGGCTCTTTAGGCTAGAACACTTTTTATTGCATTTCACACATCATAAAAAAAATTCAAACATGTTTAAACACATTAAAAACACTTGGTGTTCGCCCAAACTAAAAACCAAGCCGTCCGGCGTTTGGCTTTCAGAAACCGGCATTCGATTTTCAAAAACCGGCGTTCGGCATTCGGTTACCGGCATTGGTTTTTAGCGTCCGATCCAACCAAGTAGTTTTCAACATTTTATGATTGGTTCTT